TGAAATAATTAAAATAAAAATAAAAAACAAAAAAAAAAATAGAATGAAAGAACTAAAAATAAGAAAAATGCAAGATCTGTTGTATAGTTATGACTCTGATACCAAGAAAAATGATAATACTGAAAACACACGAGATGAATATTATAAGAAACAGTTTAAAGTAAAATTTTATTTAAAAGTAGTTATTGGAGTCTCGTTATTTGTATCAATATTTTTTTTAATAATGAGAACGATAACAATTAAAAAGTCATATGTTTGTAGTAAAGGATATAATTCGTTATTAGTTAATTATGAAGACCCACCTTTTATTAATGTTAAAAATACAACACAGTTTTACACTTTTGTTGATCCATCTTATTCATTAACATTTTATGGAACATTTATTGAACAACAAGTAGGAGGGTTTTTTAATAGAGATGCTATTCTACCAAAAATTACATTAAACGATTCTCGTTTTAGTTTTAATAGTGATTTCATTGGTTGTGCTACTAGTGGATGGTTTGATCATTATAAAAAATGTGAAAGATTAGTAATTTCATTTAAATTAAACACTACAGAAGAAATGATAATTCAACCATACCCAGTTACTATTACAATAGAAGATCCAAAACCTACATATTCCATGTATTTTAGTGAATTTTCAAATATTGGATGTTCAAGTAATTTTACTGTTCTTATTATTCCATTACAAAAACAAAATTGTTATCCATCTATTACATCCCCTTCTATTTTTTGTGTAAATTCTACAAAAGAAAACCAATTAAAATCAATTAATTTTACAATGTCATATGATGAAAAATGGGACTTAATGAATAACTATTATCCATTTATTCATCAAATATCACTTTGTTCAGATAATCATTATGAAGATAAACAAATGTTACCAAGTATAATTAATATTGTAGAATTTAAAAATCAAGTTTATGTTACTAGTAGACATCTTAATGTCACTCAATTAAATTATACTGGTAAAAATCAAAAATATATTATTGAATCAAGTCATCATGGTATTATTGCTAATGTTACCTTCTATTCTTCAATAGAATATCATGCTGTTATTGAAATAGATCGTAAATTAGAATTCCTTGCTATTCCTTTTGTTTATAAAAAGAATGATAATTCTTTTAGAAGTTCTTACATTGCTGGTGGATTTTATGTAAATCAATTAGACTTTATTAATTATGAAGTTCTTCCATCAA